GAAAAATGAAACAATACCTTTGAATGTAATACTAGCTTTCTTTCTTATTTAATATGTTTTAGTAATATATATACACAACAGTTTTGGCTCTCCACGTACTTAAAAACTGGAAGCACAATTCTATTGTTTTTTTCGCTAGTATGTTAATTAACTGCTATTTGAGCCTCATTATACTTTATTCATGTTTATTACTCCATTATGTCATGTTTGTACATGGAATGAGAGAATAAAATGTTTTTTGACTTGACTTGACTTGACACACAAGCTACTGTGTGGCTGGCATTATTACACAAAAACATCTCCTTTTTATTCAAGGGCCTAAACTTGGCCAAAAATCATTCAAGTAGAAAACTTGTGTATCATGAACAAGAACTTGAGCTACCAACCAATCCTCTGAAGTTTCATTGAAATTGCATTAGTGGTATACGAAGAGTAGCAAAGTAAATTTTAACTAGAACTGCCACTCAGTCATGGCGTGAATACCCCCACATACCACTTTGTCAGAATCAACAGTGGCCATTTAGAGCTCAAGGACAACCTCCCTGCCAAATTTGTGGTCACTAAGCCATAGCATTGCTAAGTTATGTATTCTACATACTTCAAATGTGAAAATGTGAAAATCAATACGCTGCAGACAGGCATTCTTAAGCATTTGAGAAGACAAGCTTATTATAGTAAAAATTCCTGAGACCTTGACCTTTGACACAGTCACCTAAAAAGCAATAGGGGTAATCTACTAGTAATCAACAACCTCAATACCAAATATGAAGACCATTGACAAGCAATTGAGCGGAAGTTTTTTTTAGTCAAAAAGTCCCTGTGACCTTGACCTTTGTCCAAGTGACCTCAAAATCTGTAGTGGTCATTTACTAATCATGACTAACCTCCATGCCAAATATGAAGACGGAGGGTCAAAGGAATCTTAAGTGACTGGGCGGACAAACATTTTTTAGTCAATGCTCCTGTGACCTGGACCTTCAGTGACCTCAAAATCAATAGGAGTCATCTTATAGTCATGGCCAACCTTCATGCCAAATATGAAGACTGTGGGGTCAAAGGAATCTTCAGTTATTGGTCGGACAAGTTTTTTTTTTTGCAAGGCCCGTGACCTTGACCTTTGACCCAGTGACCTCAATCAAGAGGGGTCATCTACTAATCATGACCAATCTAAATACCAAATATGAAGACTGTGGGTCAAAGGAATCTTAAGTTATTGGGTGGAAAAGGAAAAACTGCCAGACAGGGAGACGTCCAAACGAAGAAGCTAATTCCAGTGTACCACCTTATAACTTTGTTGTGCCCGGGTATAAAAGGGCCATAACTCTGTAGAGGCTACACAAAAACTTTGGACTGTTCCAAATTCAATACAGGGCAAATGTAATTTTAATACGCACATTCAGTAGTAAAATGTTAAGACACTGCTATTTATCTTTATTCCAGTAACTACAGTATATTTCTGCAAAGTCAGGAAATCTTTTCTACAAAAATAAATATATCATATATCATCTCCCCAAAACATATATATTCTGTATAAACAAGATAGGTTACAGCTTCCTCTATTCTATGTCTATATATCATAATGATCTTATGACAGGTTCTCAGGTGATTTTACTGATCAGTTTTTCAGCAAAAATCATAACAATATTGTAAATCAAATATGATCATTAAACTTCTGTATTTATTCATATTATATAGAAACAATTTGCAAGTTATCATTATAACTAAGGAATATAATCTAAATTATTAATACTGTAGTGCGAATTTTTCCTAATGATCTCATAAAACAATTTTTTTAATGTTAAATAGTTTGTTGATAGTTATGTGATGTCTACAACACTGTAATAACTCATATACAGACCTTCACCTAAACATGTTCAAATAAGTCATGGGTAAATTGACTTACTTTTTAACTCAAAGAATGCTAGAAAAAGAAAACAATAAGAAATAAATAACATCTGAATTTTATCTCCTGTTTTTATTTCATTGCACACATATAAATTACAACGTTATACATTTAAAAATCTTCAGCTACAATATATAACATACACTTGTATACTAACAGAATCTGATGCGGATCCCGAGGGGGGCCTTGCAGGTTTGACAATGGGTTACTGCATATTCCACAAAAGGGTCAACATTTACTTGTTTTCAGTTAAAAGGCTGTCTGCAGTAAATATTGCTGATTTTCACTAGATTTGCATGATTGTACTTAATGAACAATATATATATCCAAATCTCAGAGAGATTCCACTTATAAACCTTATCCCAGATGGGTAATAACCCCCTATATCCCAACCCACCCCACCCCTCTGGATTTGCACGAGAACAACAATAAAATGTAACACAATTGTTAATAAAACAATGATTGGTTTTATAGGTACAAATAACAGGTTTATTTAATCAACATAATAATAGGCCTACTAAATACAGCTTTTTGAAATGCTATTGTAAAATAACTCAGAATTTCTTTGAAATTTCCTTTATATTTCTTAAAATAATGTCTCCATACATAAGTATGTGTGTAAGTTATAAAAAATATCTTTAAAGTTCAGATATATATAATGATTGAAATTTTTTAATTTCTTGGGAGTAAGGAAATGATTAAGTTCAACGTCCCACTGATACTGGCCTAGTCGTGTAATTGTGAACGCCAGGAAGTAAGTAAGGTCCCACTGATTTTTTTTCAGGGTAAAGGTCAAATCAATCATAACCCGCTTCTGTAGAAGAATTAAAGGGTATCACATGAAAAAAGGTCTAGTCATACTGGTGGAGGAAGCAGTCATATTGGTGGAGGAAGCATGCACATAATAAAATGCACAAACAGGGACCTGTGAAGAACTCTTTTCTTATATCAAATTATTCTTTTTTACTTTCCAACATGGCCAGTAAAGATTTTTTTTATTTTCCTTGAGTTTTATAATGAACCAACACAATAAAGATCATATTGCAACATTCGAGCTTTACTGGTGGAGGAAGAGCTCAGGTGCCATTCCTTTTATTTTTCCATCATGAACAGGTTCCTGAGTAGAATAAGCAATGTTATGTCAGCTAGATGTATAGTTCCTCACATAAAAAAAACAAAAACAAAAGTACCTGACAGGATTTGAACCAACAATGGTGAGAGGCAAGTGGTTTACTGGTAAAAAACATTGACCTTCTGTCAGATTCCTAACAATAAATAACTCAGACATCCATACATATACTGTAGATGAGGCAAATGTGACTTGATTTCAGCCAATTGGACTTTTTCACTACTAAAATGTCTCTGTTTTAAGTTCAACTACTGTCAAGGAGCAATTTCTACACTCTACTTTACTCAAGTCCTGTACTTATGATCAATTTTGTCCCAATAGATGCAAAAAGTGTTAGAATTCAAAACCATGACATGAAAGTTGAATGGTGAATTGCACAATATACTTTAACTGACAACAGTAAAATGGATCAAGTCAGTAACATTGCAAACATTAATTAAAACATCACAGTGCTGTCAGTACACATTTAAGATGTAATTATATTGTTGAAAGAGGCAATTTTATCCATTTTTTCCATAAACTTTAACTTTCGAAAAATGTAATTAAATACAATCACATGCTTTGTAAACTCGTTACAGAATCATGTATAACAAAATACCAATCTGTACATGTGCAAAAAAAAAAAAAAAATAGAAAGGAGATGAAATAAATGTATTTATATATTAAAAGAGAATATCATGTAATATGAGTCAGATAAAAACAGACAAGAAATTTAACTCCAAATCATTTAAACAATTTGTTACTGTGTCCCCAGTACAGAGCAAGGCCAGCCTGCACAACCATGCAGACTGGCCAGGCTACTGTTGCCAACTACCTTAAATTTTCATCTTGATATCCCCGAAACTGATAATGGACAGTTCAAAAATAAAAGTTCAACAAGTCCAATTAAGTAATTGGGAAGGTTAAGAATAAATTTATTATTTCCTGCCTTTAGAATAATAAATTACAATTATCATGGCAGACCTATATGGATTTTTTTGGGGGGATTGGTTTTAAAGTTGCACTAATACAGTGTATGCGACTTTCAAGCTTTACAGGTGGAGGAAGAGTTAAGGTGCCCTTTGGTGCATTATTTCAAGCACTAACTGGCACCTGAGTAGAAACACCGATGTACCATAAGCTAACTGGATAGCTTCCTCACATGAAAGAGCCCAACATCCCTGTTGGGATTTGAACCCATAGCAGTAAAGGGCAAGTGGTTTAAAGGTCAAAGATGCCCCCATATTTTACTGTCATAATAATCACATATAGTTATTGGTGTGTAGCAGTCATACTCTGGGTTAGTTCATATGCTGACAACTATACTTTGAAAGTTTTGTGGTTGTAAAAGTAGGACAAAAACCACAACCCTTGGTTTCAGAAGTAGACTTTTTGACCACAAGTTATAAACTGAAAATTTCCCATTAGAAACATATGACATTGAAAAATGAATCTTATAACTTAAGGCACTTAATAAATAGTCTATACTCAGATACAAAGCATGCTGAAAACAAATATACAATATAAATACATAAAAGTAATAAGTCTTAATATTATAATCCAGGACTAGAATATATTTCTTTCTTTCTTTCTTTCTTTCTTTCTTTCTTTCTTTCTTTCTTTCTTTCTTTCTTTCTTTCTTTCTCTCTTTATTTATTTCATTCTTTCTTTCATTTTCAAATTATGGTAACCTTTAAAAAAATGTTTTAATAAAAGGATTTACAGTACATATTTTCTGACATGCAAATCCTAATTTCAAATGTTTAATTTAGTTCAAAGGCTTGGATAGAGACTTGTTTCAATGATTGCTATGTTTTTCACTGTTTTTCACAACTTTCTCCTCTGAAATACAAACTGAAGAACTTAATGTTAAGAACCTAATTTTACCTTCTCAATTCATGAGCCACTAATATATTGGAATAAACATGCCAATAATTTATTATCGAAAAAGGCCATACTGCTATTTGTTTATTGTAACTTTATTAGATATAACAAGTTACATAATTATGTGTTATTAAAGCAATAAGTTACTATAGCCAATGAAAATGCAGGCTATGCTCCAAGTCATTTCGAATATATTAAAGGATGTTGAAAAGTCTTAAAACGTAAGATTTTGCCTAGGTCAAGTGAATCTCTTAAAATGGAAAACTCTACAAGGATAATGAAGAAATATGCTCAAAATTAAATGGAAAATCAAATTTTTTGTGTGATTCTTAGCACAATTTCAGTGAAAAAAGTTTTTCATTTTTGGGTCATTCTTCACTATATAAATGATGATTCTAGACAATGATCTGAAAACTTGCACACAAGTGATTAGTCCTAACCTACATCAAATGGTAAACAAAAATATTTCTAGTCTTGTCATGCCAAAAAAACTTAAGTGGAGTCCCTTTTATTCAAAAGGTTATTAAGGAGAGTTTGTTCATTATCATATACTTTTCCTCCCAAACTCCCAATGTTTTTTTCTCACTTAATACATGCATGTTCTATTCAATAAAGAAAGAAAGGGAAGTTGAAGTGTTAAGCATCAATTAGTGTAATATACTTTCAAATTTATCTTCAGTACGATTAAGATAATTATAAAAATTGTACAATAACTTTAAATAATATGATCTGAAAAGAATTTGAACAAAAGCTGTGCTCCACTATTCTCAAGGCTTGAAATGAAAACTAGAGCCTGGATAATGTAGAATTTTTTTTTTAAGTTCAAAAAGGGTCATTATTCTGTCAAAATCAATGTTCACAGCCCTTGCTGACTACAAGAGCTTTCCCTGTTCTTTGAATAGTCAAACTAACAAAATGTGCCTAGGTTATATAAAAGTTTTTACAAAGATTTCACAAATGTGCAACCTGCTTCATGGGTAACCTACATTTCATTCTGTTAGTTGACTTTAACATGATTTTTTAACAACATAAAAACAAATATATATCCATTAAAACAGCTCAATATATACATGTATGTCAATATACTATTAAAATTCAAGAAAGGTAAATAAAGAATTACATTCACCGTAAAACAATTACATATATATATGAACATGTATATGAAGTAACAAAATGGCAGTTTTGGTATACAGCTGTATTCAACAATGCTGGGGTTAGAAGGATAGCCCCATATTTCTTTATTAACTATCTAGTGAATAATACAATTGAAGGGGATTTCACAGACCCATTACAGGTGAAATAAAAACAAGAATTGTAAATATAATACGAAAACACTATGCCTTACTTAAAATCCAAACAAAATAGGAAAAAATTTGTATGCATCTATAATTAGAAAATGATCTTAAATAATTTTAATATACATTATATATTAATATCTGTTATTAAATATATATACAAATAACTTTGAAAAATATATAACAATTCCAAAGATTTACTGTGGAAAGTCACATAATATATAAATGATTAATTGCAATAAAAATATAGCAAATGTAGACACAGATTTTACAGGAAACAAGAAATATACAAGTATATTGTCAAATTTTCACAGCACATGTAAAACATTTCAATTTCTTCTATACTACTTGATAGGAGATAATAAACTAATCTCATATTAAGTCAGGTAGGTTGAAAATACAAATGCCCTTAAAAAAGAAATGTATTGACTGTAGTGAAAATATGGAAATGAAAACCATCATCATTTTGATTTAACCCTTATCATGCTAAAAATTCTTAAATGGATTTGACATTGACTATATAAAAAACAAACAACAACAAAAAACGGACAAAAAAGAACAACAACAACAAAAAACAAACAAACTGGGACTTAAATATAATGTAAGTTCCAGAAAAAAAACTACAAATAACCAAATTCATTAAAAATCGAAACATCCTGAAATAATCAATAACCAGACACCATCAGCAAGAATTTTGACAAAATCAACATATAGAACAAAACAATATATACAAAGATCTGCAATAATATAGGGCTGTTACAATTTACTTCCCTTGTGAAAATAACAAGTGGCTGTAACATGCTCTCATATAAAAATTAAAAGGCCAACAAATCTGATAAATTAAATTTTGTGATGTAAAATTAGCACGGACTAGTTTTTTTTATTTCACTATAAAAATGACTACTTTCAATCTGATTAAAATTTCACAACTTCAGGCAAGTATCAATTCATGTTGAATATTTATACCAATAGAAATGATATTGATTTATCAACAATTTTATTCAGTCATTTAATAACCTATAAAGATTTGAAAAAAAAAATCAATAATTATGACAAATTAATAAAATATCTAAAACAAACAACAACAACAAATTAATGAAAATATTTAGAAATAATGAAAATTTACCAAAAGCATAATCATAGAACACGCCCAGTCAAAAGGATGTTTAAAACTGTGCTGTTGTTATGTAAATGGGCATACTCCATCACAGTGATGACAAAAAATGATTAGAAAAAAAATAACAACATGCAGTGGTTACTTATAAACAATACAAATCATAATTGTATGCAAAGAGCATGTATTCTAATGAAAGTAAAAATATAGATAAGTTATACTCAGTAGTTGTATGTAAAATCAATATTTGTCATCTGATATCTCATCCCTTGATAATGACAAGAGGCCATAGTTTTATCCCTGGCCTTTCAGTCCAGGTGTGCATTTGAAAAGCTTGTCTTGCCCATAACTCTGTCATGCAATCAAAGGATTTTGAAATAACCTTGCATAAATGTAAAGCATACTGAGTGAGTGTGTCATGCAAAAGAAGTCGAACCCTAGCTCCAAGGTCAAGGTCACACTTAGAAGTCAAAGGTCAACCTTTAGAAAATCTTGTTAAGCCAGTAACTCTGTCAAGCATTAGGGGATTTTAAAAAAAATTGGTACAAATGTTAAGCACAATGAGATGGCGCATCAAGTACAAGAACTAGATCTTAAGACCCAGGTCAAGGTCACACTTAGATGTTCAGAGTCAACTGCTGTCTGACTCTCAACTCTTTGTCATGCATCAAGAAATTTTGAAATAATTTAGCACAAATTTGAAGCATTATGACAGACTGTGCAATGTGAAAGACATAGTCACTAGCTCCAAGGTCAAGGTCACCCTAAGAAGTCAAAGGTCAGAAGTTTGAAAATCTTGTCCTGCTGTTTGTTATTGTTTGTTAGTTTCATTTTACACCTTTTTCCAACAGTATTTCAGTCATATAGGCAGGTAGTTTCCTAACCATTGTTCCTGGAGAGTTACACGAGTACTAGACTACCTTCCTCCGCTCTAAACTACCAAAGCATCTCCCGTGGATAGAACCCACGCCAGAGAGGTAACTGGATTAGAAGTCATCGACTGAAACCCCTCGACCAGGGAGGCAGTCTTGTCCTGCTGTAACTCTGTCATGCATCAAGGGTTTTAAACAATTTAGTATTAATGTTAAGATTGATAAGACAGTGTGTCATGAGCAAGACCTTGATGCCTAGCTCCCAGGTCAAGGTCACACTTAGAGCTCAAAGGTCAGTAGATCAAAAATCTTGTCAGTCCCATATGTCTTTTATGCATCAACAATATGGCATGCAAGTGAAGCATGATGAGTTGGTGTGTCATGCACACGACCAATACCACTAGCTCATAGGTCAAGGTCACACTAAGAGGTCAAAGGTGCCTTAACAAATAAAGTGAAGGCATCCAACATATTTCTAGTTTTCTATACATAATATCAGTTAATATGGTCCCCAAGATGAAATATACTGGCAATTAACAATAAATATATAAATATTAAAACATTTTCTTTAGATTTGAAGAATAGACAAAGTTCTTTTTTTCTGATAATGTGAATCTTTATTACATCATTATGCGAAACTTTTTTTCTTTCAATATATGAACCTTTATCACAATGCAATTATTTCATTGGTTGATTTGAAATCTAAGCTTGGAATCACACAGACCAACAAGATTATACCATATGGTCTATTAGCAAAAAGATTATTTAATATACAATGAAATTTCTTCCAAGCTATCATAAAATAATACTAATAAAGAAATTTATAAAACAAAATCAAATTAAAGATGCTTGACTCCAGATAAGCCACAGTATTTCAAGAAACTCAACTTGAGAAAAATGTAGATTTTAGTAAAAAAAATTTTTTTAGAAAAAGATTCAAGTAATAATTTTGATATTATGTGTGAATAATGACATCTTTTGCAGAATTCATCATCATATTTCTACTGCGTGACTAACACAGTAAGAGCTATTTTGCATATTTTGACCTCATTTTTGCAATTTATTGGGTTGTGAGTGCTGTTTGCAATGTGTTAATTACATTCTTCACTGCACAATATTATATTTTCAAATACATTATAAAATTTTCATGAAAATTATTACAAATCTGGAGGCATGCTGCTTTAAGAAATTTAATGTATATTTCATGAAATATGTAAAGTTAAGGTAATACTTTGAATGTACTATGAAAGCTATGACAGATTTTTCTAGTTTTATCAACAAAAATCTAAAGAGGATTTGTAAGTTTTTCTCTATAAATACATGATTCAATTTCATCTAGTGGTTTAAAAAATAAATACTTCACAAGTTGCAGTAGCCACGAGTGAAATATGATAATTTCCATATCATAAGATGAAAACAAATCGTGTTTTTATAATAGTAAAAACTTGAATTTTCTTTACATTATATTTTTTTCTCTTTTATAGTCAAGTTTTCCTTTTCAGTTTTGTGTCTTTGCTAAATTTAGAAGAAAGTAGCAAGCACAAGTAAAAATATGGAAAATATGTTTCACTGAAGTAAAAAATAGTTTTACAGTGAAAAGACAGAAAATAAAAATATGCATTTTATTTCATAAATATTTCATTTTTATAAGTAAATAATTAACTCTGTTACTGATTAAATATTTTACAATAAGAACAATTAAAAATAAAAACAACAACAAGAAAAATCTGGAATGGTGTGCTGCTTAAAGTCTAGCTTGACAGCAATTAATGATTTTATGTCAAAAACAGCATCATGACAAAAGGAGTACTACATCATCAACTTAAAGCAGGTGTATAATAAATTACGGATTATTCTTTCTTTGGTTTCTCAGTCACTGCATCATCAAATGACTGGCCATATTCATTCACTCTCTTCTTGTCAACTGGATATAACCTGGAATTATATACAAATGAGCGGCGTCATGACAAAACCAACATAATGGGTTTGCGACCTGCATGGATCCAGACCAGCCTGCGCATCAGTACAGTCTGATCAGGATCCATGCTGTTCACTTACAAACCCTATTACAAGTGGAGAAACTGATTGCGAACAGAATGGATCCTGATCAGACTGGGCGGATGCGCAGGCTGGTCTGGATCTATGCTGGTGGCAAACTGTTTATGTTGGTTTTGACATGAAGCAGCTCAAATATTCAAATATCTATGTTCAGCATGATACAGCCATAACCCATAGAACCATCTATTTTCATGGTGATTTGTTGTTTTTCTTTTTTGTAGGGTTTTACGTTGCACCAACACAGTAAAGGTCATGTGGCAACTTTTGAGCTTTACTGGATGAGGAAGCATGAGGTGTCTCTCCATGCATTTTTTTCGGGGCACGAACATGCACCCAAGTAGGACCACCAATGTTCCTTAAGCTAAATGGAAAGCTTCCTAACATAAACGAATCCAATGTCCTCGGGATTTTAACCTAAAGCTGTGAAAGGTATGAAGCCAATGACAAAAAGCAATTATCATAGTATTGCAAGCAATCCATAAGTCCCCTACCGGTAAGAGCCCAAGCAACATTCTGAAGGGCCATTGGCCATTCACTTATGTTTTTATTTTAAGTAAATTTGTTGAATAAGTTCTTTAAAAGTGATCACAGTGAACAGACAGACAGACGGACTGAAGGACAGTCTAAACTTATTTTTTAAACATCCCTGTTATCAAAATATAACATTTTAAAAGCAAAATTTAATAAAAAAGGAAATAACGATGTCATACATGATGTGAGTGTAACAAAAAAAAATTAGTAATGAAGGTATGAATATTGAATATTTATTTTGAAATTGAAGTAAATGAAAGTTAAAAGAACAAATAGGAAAAATTAAAAGTTTAAGGAGGAGATAATTCTGGAAATATGGATGCTAGATTTATAAACCTTGTCATACTATAATGATGTGGGAGTTTGAAGAAAATTCTATCATGATTGATGAAGTTGGAGTAAAAATTACCAATTTCTCAAAAAATAGTCTAAGTTCAAAAGGGGCATAATTCTGAAAATAGTCTTGCTAGAGTATTGAACACTCACAAATGTTGAGTGATAATAAGAAACATTTATATGAAGTTTGAAGTAGATACGTTCAGAAAAAAAGAAGTTATTAAACAAGAGGGCCATGATGGCCCTGAGGTCGCTCACCTGTATATAGGCCGCCCCCCCCCCCCCCCCCCAAACATTGCAGGGCCAATTTAACCAAAGGGCTTTTATTTGCACAAACTTGGTAGACACCCATAAGAAAATGTTTCATGCTAAACATCTAAGCTCTAGCTCATTGGGCTATTTAAAAGAAGATTTTTTTAAAGTTTTTACTATACACATATAGTTAAAAACAATGACACGCCTGGGGCCGGGCCAGTTATGACCCCAGGGTTTTTATTTGAACAAACTTTGTAGACACTTACTAGAATATGTTTCATGCTTAATATCTAAACTCTAGCTATTTGGGTTTTTTCAAAGAAGATTTTAAGTTTTTGCTATACACATATAAGGAAAATCAATGACCCCGGGGCAGGGCCAATTTTGACCCCAGGTCTTTTATTTGAACAAACTTTGTAGACACTCACTAAAAGATGTTTCATGCTTAATATCTTAACTCTAGCTATTTGGGTTTTTTCAAAAAAGATTTTTTAAGTTTTTGCTATACACATATAAGGAAAATCAATGACCCCGGGGCAGGGCCAATTTTGACCCCAGGGCTTTTATTTGAACAAACTTGGTAGACACCTATTAGAACATGTTTGATGCTAAATATCTTAACCATAGCTCTTTGAGTTCTTTAAAAGAAGATTTTTAAGTTTTTACTATATGCATATATAGGGAAAAATCAATGACCCCCCCGGGCGGGGTCAATTTTGACCCCAGGGCTTTTATTTGAACAAACTTGGTAGACACTTATTAGAACATGTTTCATGCTAAATATCTTAGCTCTTACTCTTTTGATTCTTTAATGAAGATTTTTTAAGTTTTTACTATATGCATATAGGGAAAATCAATGACCCCCTGGGGCGGGGCCAATTTTGACCCCAGGGCTTTTCTTTGAACAAACTTGATAGACACCTATTAGAACATGTTTGATGCTCAATATCTTAGCCATAGCTCTTTGAGTTCTTTAAAAGAAGATTTTTTAAGTTTTCACTATATGCATATAGGGAAAATCAATGACCCCCCGGGGCGGGGCCAATTTTGACCCCAGGGCTTTTATTTGAACAAACTTGGTAGACACTCACTAGAAGATGTTTCATGCCAAATATCTAAGCTCTAGCTCTTATGGTTTTTTAAAAGAAGATATTTAAAGTTTTTTCTTTCGGTTGCCATGGCAACCAGAGTTCTGCATGGAATTAAATTCTTTGAACAATTTTTAAAGGTGACCACCAAAGGAACATTCCTGTGAAGTTTGGATGAAATTGGCCTTGTGGTTTATGAGGAGATGTCATTTAAAGTAAAAGTTTACGGACGACGGACGACGGAAGGACGACGGACGCCGGACGAAAAGCGATCACAAAAGCTCACCCTGTCACTTTGTGACAGGTGAGCTAAAAAAACAATGTTTTTTTTCATGAAAATTTTAAGTTCAAGGGAGGTAATTCTGATAAATTTTGTGCTAGAGTGGTAAACTTTGTCACATATGATGTGGTTGATGACTAGCAACTTATTTTTAAAGTTTAAAGGAAAATACCTTAAGAAATAAAGAATTTATAGTGAAAAAAACTTAAAAACTAGAATCAGAAATCTTGAAATTCAGTCTATTTGTTGCCATAGCAACCAGAATTTTCAACACAGGAAGATAAGAAAAGGATGTGCATAATTTCCATACTGCCATCTACCCATATGTCAAGTTTCATAAAAATATTTTCAATACTTTTTGCGTTATCACTGGATCCAGGTTATGTGTAAAATCTGCCATATTTTCAGTCTATTTGTTGCCATAGCAACCAGAATTTGCAGCATAGGAAAAAAAGAAAAAGACGTGCATAATCTCCATACTGCCATCTATCCATATATCAAGTTTTATAAAAAAAATTCAGTACTTTTCGCGTTATCGCGGGATCCAGGTTATGTGTAAAATTTGCCATATTTTCAGTCTATTTGTTGCCATAGCAACCAGAATTTTCAACATAGGAAGAAAAGAAAAAGACGTGCATAATCTCCATACTGCCATCTATCCATATACCAAGTTTCATTAAAATATTTTCAGTACTTTTTGCGTTATCGCGGGATCCAGTTTTGTGGACGGACGGACTGACGGACGGACAGACAGACGGACGGAGGGTAAACCTAAAGTCCCCTCCGGTAAACCGGTAGGGGACTAATAACTCAATTGGCCATGGATTTTTATCAAAGCACTAAAAGTACTGATTTTGTAATAACTTTTGTAATTTAAGCTTTTTTTAATCGATCATTTCAATGTTAGTTTGTTTAATCATTAGAATATTATCAATAGAAAAAGAAATAGTAACATAATATGCTTCAAGCATTTATTTTTTATAAAAAATCTGTTCAATTTTAATGAAATACTAGCAAAATAGAACCCGTAAGTTTTGACTTACCATCTTTGGTAGAGGTAAACAAGGAAAACAAGATCGTCTCTAAAACAAGCCAGTCTGTGTGCAGTTGGCATGGTGATAATAAATGCAAAAATGTCATCTATAAATGTATTAAATGCCTGAAAATATAGATAAATTCATGTCAGATTAGCAATAAAACGAGAACTGTGCAAGGTTAGTGTGCTCAACTTTTTTCAGTGCCTGAAAGTAAAACATGAGCCTGAATAATGTAAAATTTCTAAATTCAAAAGGGCCATAAATCAGTTAAAATTCATGTTAGAATTATGAACCCCATACAGTGACCTCCTATTATGTCCTAAAATAAGTGTGTGAAGTTTAAACCCATTTCTTTCAAAAGTTTCAGAGACACATCGTACCAATTTGCATGAAGAATTCACTCATAAAACGTCTGTTAATTATTGATGAATATTTTATATCTGAATCCAGTATAAGCTATGATGGGATAGACTTCACAATCAACAACTTGTTTTTCATTAACATTGCGAGTAAATACAAGGTACAAATGTATGTGATAAAAAAATTTATCAACTGAAATAATTGCTTTTTAGAGAAAAAAAAAAACAAGAATGTTATTAAAATTTGTCAACAGAGAATTTTTTTTCTCTTCATTTTGCTGTGATGTATTGCAAAATTAAACAATGTTTGGTTATTGTCAAATTATCATGTACATACCTTGTACATAAAAGCTCTCCATGGCAAATGTGCTACAGACTTCAACTGAAATAGAAAACCATTGCAGATTTTAATCATTTAAATTTACAAATATATCAAATTATTATTAATCAATTCTCAAATTGTTCACATGCATTTTGTTTAGTATTGTTATTATATACATTTACTTCATGGTTTTTTCTCAGCAATTTTGGAACATGACTCAACCATCCATAATTGGGAATTTCTACAATGTTTTATACAAATAAGGAATGCTGAGAACATATTGTATACATCAAATAAGACAATGAAATCAAATATTTGGTTAATTAAATTCCTTTTATATTTCACTCATAAGCACATATTACAGTTTAGAATGCAAGATTACAATTTTCTATGGCATAGTGCAAATAAATGTCACAAAATGACAACAATTTTACCTTTTTCTTGTTCCTTAAATTTGGAATTTTTTCCTTAAAATTGGGGAAAATACTTTATGGCATTGGAAACATGACCCAATATTGGTCATCAAATTAGGCCAGAAGATAAGCTCTCTGTCTCTCAACTTGTAAATGTTTGAATATACCATAGTGAGCTAACTTGAGGTAAACCATAGTTGAGCTAACTTGAGGTAAACCATAGTTTAGCTAACTGGAGGTATACCATAGTTGAGCTTACTTGAAGTATACCATAGTATAGCTAACTTGAGGTATACCATAGTGGAGCTAACTTGAGGTATACCAATTAAGGTATATCATACTTATTGAGGTATATCATAGTTAAGCTAACTGGAGGTATATCATAGTTAAGCTAACTGGATGGAGGTATTCCATAGTTGAGCTTACTAGAGGTATATCATAGTTAAGCTTACTGCAGGTATACCATTGTTAAGCTAACTGGGGATATGTTGTTCAAAATACTCAACAACATTGTGAAATTCAAAATTTTAATGTCTATAAAAAATAATATAAATGCAAAGTTTGCATAATATTTTCTATCCACCTTACAAGACAATCTTGAAAAGATGTTTGTTCCTGGTTATATACTAGGGAAGAATTTAATTTCCTTACAGCCATAACAACCACGCTTTTTTATAGCAAAACTTACACCTTAATATAAAGGTACTTTTGTTGTGTTAAAATAAAGGAGAGAAGAATTCTAAAAGACTTGTCTATCATTCTCATCCTTTTCCATATTGTTAAAATATTTTGTTTGTTGTTTATTTGTATGTACATTATATATAATATTGGGAATAAATATGTCTAAACCAAATAATTGTGTAATAGTTAAGGAAAGACAGGCTGAATCCCTGAGCTTCAACATCAAATACTAAATCTAATATTTTAATTATCTTATTTATGGAAACTCATGCAATAATTCTTTATCACAAACCTTATAGTTCACAAATAGCTGTGGTAACATAAACAAGAATCCAAAAGCATAAACACCTGAAATAAACAACAAAACACAACATAAAATTTATTAAGCAATATCGCTTATCCGAATGGTTCCCTTTTTCCCGTTTTTTAAATTTGAGAAAAATCTTATAGGGTTTTCTGTTTTTTAACCCCCATGTTAATATTAAAGGTATTAAAAAGACGAATATTAGTAATTTCCATTAATATGATCTTAATGGCATTTTCTTTTTCTTTTTTAAATTTTAAAGCAAAAATTGACTATGATCTTTTAAAACGTTCCAAATTTAAATTTGAAACAATTCTATAATTTCAAAATGGCAATATTTTGATGATAATTACCTTACAAAATGTCATTTATATTATCATAGGAATTTTACAAGTTATTTTTTAATGTTCAGGAATTGTATGCATATTACTGAAAAAAAAAATAACTTGTAAAAATTCCTTAATGATGTAAATATTACATTTTGTAAGGTAGTTATTATCAAAATAGTCAAAAGTCAATTTTTTTAAGAGTCTTAATGCACTCATAAAACCAACTTGTATGTATAATTATATATTCTAATCATTGGTGGCTAGGTAGAAAACCTTAAGAGTTATGGGCACAGACTGGGTTTCCCTGAATATAAGACACGCTTAATTTCAAATCATTGACAAAATCAAATCTGACCAAACTCAAATTGCTGTACCAATGTAAGAAATAAAGAAAAATGTATGACTTTTATCCTGCTGTATTTGTGTAATGGATTTGTCAAACTTAAAATCTAGAACAGTCCATTCAAAGTAAAACAGGTTTCTAATATTAAAGATTTAACTCACTAGTGTTGGAGCAGCACCTCTAGATACATACAGAAGTATTGATCATAAACTAGAAAAATATCGCTTTTTTCACAGATTCTTACATTTTTCATTCATGATCGTATATAAATCAGTGTCAGGAGATGAATTAGACGTCTTTAAGTGCATTTCGACAGGTGAAAAGACGAGATTTTAGCATTTAATGATGCAAGCACCTTGTTTGGTATATACTGAAATATGGTATTTAATGTGGTGCTCAACACTTTTTTTTTTAGTCTGACTCCAATATTGAATACACAGATTGAGCAACCAACGGCCTTGAACCTGACCAGACTGCATGGATGTGCAGACTGGCCTGGCTCTAAACTAGAGAATGGCAAAGGCTGATCATTTTTGTTTCCAACATGTTAAGGAGTTAACATATACACAAACCAGTAGGGATCAACATTTTTGGGGAGGATGGCAGCACCCCCATCCACTACATACATATACAAGTAGTTAGTACATATACATACACAAATAAAGGTAAGCATAGCAACTGTTTGTTTTGGTTGAAAAATAGAACCACCAATCTCTCATAGCCAGTATTATAATACTGCACGTTTGTAATGTCGCTTTTCATTGGATAATCGTGACGTTTATATAGTTTTATATACACAGCTGTTGTCGATTCATGAAGAAATCTTACTAGTATTCTCTTAAAAATGATGTTTGCTGTATTATAAATTCGTTATAAAGATTGTTGACAGGTTATATGGCCGTATATAAATGGCTGTTTGCCTTATAACCCTCGCCTAGCGGCTCGGGTTGTATTTACAAACAGCCGTTTATATAGGGCCATATAACCTGTCAACAATCTTTATAACTAATAATATATCCTCCTCACAAGAAAGAATAGTAAGTTCTTATACTATTCTTATCTACAATAGTTAGGGACAAGTGATCTACAAGGTTGGCTAAATCACTAGACAAATAGGCTCATGCACTAACTGCTTATCTGCTTTTAAAGCTTATTTCAATTTTAGAAAATTCATTACCATTTACAAGACTTTGAATACACCAGGAGTACCAGCTTTTATGTTCAACATACATCAGTGAGTAACCTGCCCCTCCTAGACACAATGGATATAATATATATGATAGGTACTTCATTGCCTGAAAAATAAACAAAACAAATTTTTATTATTCATAGTAAAAATTTGATCCCTTTAGGCATATCTATTAAACATATAATATCAATTTTTATGTAAAATTAATTCTAACAACTAAGTTTTCCAATAACTCATTGTAAAAGTGTGATTAACGACACAGGTTTCCTGTCCTCTTGGTGTAAAAAAGCAGTTGAGGACCAAAGATTCTGCTGTGTGTTCTTCGAAACTAAGTAACTGTTTGATAAAACTTCTATTTTCTCTTGATTTGCAGCATCTTTTCACTTTTGATTTGCCATAAATTGGAATGTCTAGAATATCAGCATCCCCCTTTAAAATTCTTAACAATATAACATAGGAACTCCTAGCTAGATCTCTGATCATTAACAGAGACATTCTCATGTGTTTATATAAATTGTACATTTGAGCCGTGCCATGACAAAACCAACATAGTGGGTTTGCGACCAGCATGGATCCAGACCAGCCTGCGCATCCGTGCAGTCTGATCAGGATCCATACTGTTCGCTTACCAACTCTATTACAAGTAGAGAAACTGATAGCGAACAGAATGGATACTGATCAGACTGTGCGGATGAGCAGACTGGTCTGGATCCATGCTGGTGGCAAACGCATTATGTTGGTTTTGTCATGGCACGGCTCATTTAATTATTTGAAGTCTGTTGATATGAATGTCAAGAAAGCCAACCTGGGAGTCAAACTCTGCAGTCTCAAGCTCTTTATCACTACTAGATCCAAACTGAAATAAAAAAAATACATGCATATACTATAAACTGCTGACTTTTGTAAATGTACCAGGAATTACAGATTAACTTTGTAGCATGCTGACGCAAACTGACTTTACCCATATGACCAGTGCAAGATTAGCCAACACAGCTATGCCATTTGATCATAATTATGCACTGTTTGCTATTCTGTCAGCAATTACTATTGAAATTTTCCCCCTTAAAATGATAAATGGTTTTGTCCAAACTGAAAAATGGACCAGTCCATTCAAAATATTTAGCATGGTCAGCATTTAAGTTAAATAACATTAATTATGAATATAACACTTTTCAATTACACATTTAGTATGGTCAAGATTTCAATATCAATTGATTTGCAATGCTTATACATCGACAGAATTTCTTCAGAATATTTTATTTCTGTCTGAAATTTCTCTAACCAATCTTACCAACTTTACTAAGGTAATATCAGAATCTAACACACCAAATTATTGAATATTTTGTAAGATTTAAATATACCAGTATTATAACTTACACTTAATTTTGGTATAATTCCCTTCCATGACAATGCAATCTTGAAAGCTTTTTTTACTTTCCACGCCTGAAAAAAATCAACTTGTATAATGTAGCAAAATACCTTAACAAATACAAATACTGTCTTTTTCATCATAGGTGTAAAACTGACAAAAAAGAGATCAGTGTTTTTCTATTGAAGTGTTTTGTTTTTTTCTGACAATACTGTATGGCCTTGTGTGTTTCTCCTGTTTTGTAATTTATCTATAAGCTCTAAGTTCAATCATGCCCTTGCTTTTCTTAGTATGAATACAATGCATAAAACATACTTTTTCAGGAAAGTACATGTATTTGAATTATAGCTTTACAGTTACGGTCATGCGATAACTTTGTAGCTTTACCGACAGAGGTCATCAAGTAACTCTCCATAGATTTTTTTACAGGTAAAAAGAGAGCATCTAAATAGAACCATAAATTCCTGAAAGCTAACTATTTCTCATATGAATGAATTCAATATCCCTAAAAGATATGAAAATTCATATTGTTGGTAAATGTTTTGAAGCAGTCTTTTTTTTTGGCATATAAAGCTTAACAAGAGTCATGTCAACATGGCCATCCCCCGCCGAATGTTTTGCTCATTAGAAGAATGTATATGTAGTAGAGCAGAATAATTCCATTTTAAGAGGCCTCTAGGTAATGAAAACTGATGGCTCAAGTGAATACAGATTTGAAACCTATGTGAGTACTGATGGCTGAAAATAACAAAGCGCAATAACTGAACAAGAATGTCGAACGACACATATACCCCCCTTTCTAGCCATTAACTCACATAATTGGTAATTTTATTACAGAAACTTGCCAAAAATGGGTACATGGAAGTGTTCAATTATGGAAAAATCAACGGAAACCATTTTGACATTTAAGGCCCATGTGACATTGACCTTTGACCTAATGACCCCAAAATCAATAGAGGTCATCTACTAGTAATGACCAATCACAATGTGAAATATGAAGACTTTGTGATGAATACTTTTCAAGATAATCAGCGGAAACCATTTTGACATTTAAGGCCCCTTTGACCTTGAGCTTTGACCTAGTGACCCCAAAATCAAGAGGGGTCATCTACTAGTTATGACCAATCACTATGTGAAATATGAAGACTTTGTGATGAATACTTTTCAAGATAATCAGCGGAAACCATTTTGACATTTTAAGGTCCCTGTGACCTTGACCTTTGACCTAATGACCCCTCAATCAATAGAGGTCATCTACTACTTATGACCAATCACTATGTGAAATATGAAGACTATGTGATGAATACTTTTCAAGATAATCAGCGGAAACCATTTTGACATTTTAAGGTCCCTGTGACCTTGACCTTTGACCTAATGACCCCTCAATCAATAGAGGTCATCTACTACTTATGACCAATCACTATGTGAAATATGAAGACTTTGTGATACATACTTCTCAAGATAATCAGCGGAAACCATTTTAACATTTAAGGCCCCTTTGACTTTGACCTATGACCTAGTGACCCCAAAATCAATAGGGGTCATCTACTAGTTATGACCAGTCACTGTGTGAAATATGAAGACTTTGTGATACATTAATTTCAAGATAATCAGCGGAAACCATTTTGACATTTAAGGTTCATGTGACCTTTGACCTAGTGACCCCAAAATCAATAGAGGTCATCTACTACTTATGACCAATCACTATGTGAAATATGAAGACTTTGTGATGAATACATTTCAAGATAATCAGCAGAAACCATTTTGACATTTTAAGGTCCCTGTGACCTTGAGCTTTGACCTAGTGACCCCAAAATCAATAGGGGTCATCTAATAGTGATGACCAATCATTATGTGAAATATGAAGACTTTGTGATGCATACTTTTCAAGATAATCAGCAGAAACCATTTTGACATTTAAGGCCCCTGTGACCTTGACCTTTGACCTAGTGACCCCAAAATCACTAGGGGTCATCTACTAGTTATGACCAATCACTGTGCGAAATATGAAGACTTTGTGATCCACACTTTTCAAGATAATCAGTGGAAACCATTTTGACATTTAAGGTCCCTGTGACCTTGACCTTTGACCTAGTGACCTCAAAATCAATAGGGGTCATCTACTAGTTATGACCAATCACTATGTGAAATATGAAGACTTTGTGACAAATACTTTTCAAGATAATCAGCCGAAACCATGTGGTCTACCGACGGACAGACCAACGGACCGACAGACAGACCCACAGACAGACCGACATTAGCAAAACAATATACCCCCTCTTCTTCGAAGGGGGGCATAAAAATATCAAGATCTATCCACCTATGACATTTCATGTTGACATCTCAAACACTTTTGAGTTATGCTCCACTCAGGTGAAAAATTAAGTATGAAAAATAACAAAGGGCACTAACTTAAAACTTATGAAAGGTAGTTATCATTCTTGTGCACTGCACACCTCCTGAGTGAGATCTATGCACCTACGAAGTTTCATGTTGATACCTCAAATACTTTTTGAGATAAGCGCCGGACAAAATAGTATGAAAAAGAACAAAGGGCAATAACTCAAAAATTGTATAGGGAACAGTTATTTTTCTTGTGCACAGCATTCCTCCTCAATAAGATCTATCCACCTATGACATTTCATGTTGACATCTCAAACACTTTTGAGTTATGCTCCACTCGGGTGAAAAATTAAGTTTGGAAAATAACAAAGGGCAATAACTCAAAAATTATGAAAGGTAGAGTTATCATTCTTGAGCACTGCACTCCTCCTCAATGAGATCCATCCACCTATGAAGTTTCATGTTGATATCTCAAATACTTTTTGAGATAAGCTCCGGACAAAATAGTATGAAAAAGAACAAAGGGCAATAACTCAAAAATTATATAGGGAAGAGTTATCATTCTTGCCCACAGCATTCCTCTTCAATAAGATCTATCCACCTATGACATTTCATGCTGACATCTCAAACACTTTATGAGTTATGCTCCACTCAGGTGAAAAATTAAGTATGAAAAATAACAAAGGGCAATAACTCAAAAATTATGAAAGGTAGAGTTATCATTCTTGTGCATTGCAAACCTCCTGAATGAGATCTATGCACCTATGAAGTTTCATGTTGATATCTCAAATACTTTTTGAGATATGCTCCGGACAAAAATGTGGACGGACGGACGGAAGGACGGACGTTCTAACAGGAGAGTAATTATGTGGCTACTCTATTGTTCTCTCTATTGTTCTTTTTAGCCACACAAAAGAAAATAGCCACATAAAAGCATTACGGAATGAATGACATCAAAGAGAAAGAACAGTTACCTATTGTCCCTCTAGCCACATAATTACTCTCCTGTGAGTGCGAAAGGACGAACGGAGACTATTTCTATATCCCCCGCCAAAAAGAGTGAGTTAAATAGAGAGAATCAGGAGAGTTAAAAGGAAGATAAACATATAGGTTCATGAGGTGACTAAAAATACAAAGAGCAGTATAGTCTTACAATAATGATAATTTAGAAGATCTGTCTGTAAGGCAGCACACTCAACCATTCTAAGTGCTTGACAGTAAGAAAAGGGGCATAACTTTTCAAAGAAAGGTCACTCAGAGTCATGGGACCTGTGCCTATCATGTTAGATAATCACAGAGAATAAGTTTGTGAAATTTCAATCCATTCCCTTCAGTAGTTTTGGAGATAACAACTTGTAAGCAAAAATTTAACCAAAGTGTTATGGCAACAGCGACTCTGACACCAGGGCTAGTACAATATTATCCCTATTCTTTGAATAGTCGAGCTAAAAAGATACATGTAATAATAACTTGTATAGAAGAAAACAAGGTTGAAAACAAACCTCAATGATTGTACTTATGCCAGCTGGTATCAACACCAATAAACTTGTTTCTTCATCCATAAGGTAAAAGAATATAACGGCCTGAGAGACACATCTCCATACCACCGCCCTTGTTGATAAACCCACCATAGTGTCTCTATTCTTCCAGTAACTTATATCATTCTTAAATGCTAGGAAATCAAACAGTAACTGAAATACGAACAAAATACATTTCTAATAATTATCAGGGATTAAAATGATTATTTCTTTATGTAGCATTCAAAATTACGTGGCTTTATAAAAAGAATGGATGGTCAACTTATATATATACAATTTGAACAAATGTTACAAATTTGCTCCCAAACATGCATTTCAAATACGCGGGCTGTTCAAAAAGTAATCGGACTAAGAGTCTTGCATCATCATATTCCATTAAATTTAGAATATTTTTATATGTATGGCGATCGTAAAATGTTTTCTTCAATTTAAGCATAAGTTTATTACATTCTTGTGCTTAATGTGTGTCCCCCGTGATCTAATAACCATGGTAACACGCATCCGGCGCAGCACATCAACAAAGTTATTAAAGCATAAAACTTATTTTATTGATTTTTTTCACTGTATTCATAGAATATGTTCTGATAGTTTTCTCTTGTAAAATTGTACAATGTAATTTAACATGAGGACCATGATCGCCCTGAAGTCCCTCACCTGTATATAGGCCCCTGGGGCTGGGCCAATTTAATATGTGGCTTATTTTATTTACTTTATTTGAACAAACTTGGTAGACACCCATTAGAAGATGTTTCATGCTAAATATCAAAGCTCTAGCTCTTTGAGTTTTTTAAAAGAAGATTTAAAGTTTTTACTAGATCTACACACATATAGGGAGAAAAAATAACCCCCCCCCTTTCAGGGTGGGTCCAATTTTTACCCCTTACCCCAGGGATTTTATTTGAACTAACTTGGTAGACATTCACTTGATGATGTTTCATTATTAGTATCTAAACTCGAGCTCTTGGGTTTTTTAAAAGAAGATTTTTACTATACACATATGAAAGGAAATCAATGTCTCCACAACCTCCCCCCCCCCCCCAGCAGGGCCAATTTTGAACCCAAGGGCTTTTATTTGAACAAACTTGGTAGACACCCATTAGAACATGTTCATGCTAGATATCTTAGCTCTAGCTATTTGGGTTCTTTCAAAGAAGATTTTTTAAGTTTTTGCTATATGGATATAGGGAAAATCAATGACCCCCTGAGGCAGGGCCAATTTTGACACCAGGGCTTTTATTTGAAAAAAACTTGGTAGACACTCACTAGAAGATATTTCATGCCAAATATCTAAGCTTTAGCTCTTTGGGTTTTTTAAAAGAGGGTATTTAAAGTTTTTCCTGCAGAGTTCTTCATGAAATTAAATTCTTTGAAGAATTTTTAAATGTGACCACCAAAGGAACATTCCTGTGAAGTTTCGATGAAATTGGCTTAGTGGTTTATAAGGAGATGTCATTTACAGTAAAAGTTTACGGACACCGGACGGCCGGACACCGGACGAAAAGCAATCTCAAAAGCTCACCCTGTCACTTTGTGACAGGTGAGCTAAAAAATGTGAACAGTAGAACTTCAGTCCTATTACTTTTTGAACAACCCTAGTATATATTTACATACATGGGACGTCTATGTTCCTGGACAATGTCACTTTACACATCAGTTTCAAAATGATTCACAGAAACAATGAAACATTTGGAACAACATTTCTTCAATCAATTTATCTACATATGTATTTCAACAACATTGTAAACTACTCATTACGAAAATTGGTTGACTGATTAAAATTTTTCGTATACTTTTTTATTACCTTGGCAACCTTCAAACACACTTGGATTAAACAAATATTACTGAAACGTTTGAATTTTTGTACTTTTGACTAAATATGAACTTTAGGAACGTCTCAATGCCCACATATATTAGTGGTTTTCATATAAAGCCTGGTTGTTAATGGTTGTTTATGAGGTAGGGCAATCCTTTCTTGAAAACTGTTACTTTGTTATGTCAAATATGTACGAAAAAAATCAAATATGGAACAAATGACTGAGTCAGACTGGCATCAATATCTAAAGACATCAATTTATGTACAAGTTATATTAAAAACAACTAAATAATGACCAAAGTCATGTACAAGTAATAAAAGACTTTGAGATATTAAATACAACCAAATCAATGGCAGAAACAAATATCTTTTTCAAACTTACATGAAATGCAGCCACAGCAAAAGTAAGCATTAAAAACACAAAATTTGTGTCAGAGAAAATGCCTTTAATTTCATCTGTATCTTTTTCTGTAAAACCTGAAAAACAAAACAAAAATAAACAAAATACATTGTATCTGAAAAACAAAACAGAAATAAAACAAAAAACATTGTAAACTAATTTTGCATGTTCTGTAATTGTCATTTAACCCTGTTGATTGTTTTTACATGAACATATCCAGTTTCTATTATTGGAATTGAATTTATGGAGATATCAAGATGGTATCAAGTTAGTCTGCTAACAGTATAAGACCTGATCCAGATAGGCAGACTGTCCTGGCTCTATGCTGGCAACATAGGCTAATAATACATTGAGATTTTGGAAACAATTTGAAGACAGGTAAAACAACAAAAGAGCGGATAAACGCTTACCTGGGCATGTTTTTCACACCTTTGGCGATCAATAACAATTTGTATTATTGTACTTGGCTATCAAATTGAGCAAGCGTTATAGCGTGCTATAAATCTAAGTCTACTTAAAAAAAATTTTTTTTTTTTTTTTTGGGGAGCCAAGGTCTATGAGCGCTCTACTGAGATTAGCGTTATAGTGAAGAGCGAGTTATCGAGGCTACAGTGTATTTGGTTCCCAGCAGGGTTTGGCTTTCTGCTGCCAGCACAACAGGTTTTCCTGTCTGTCTCACAGTTATCATCTACATATCATCAAAATGTATACCCTTCACTGGAATATTGTACAGCAGTTTAAATCTTCATTTTTTTCTCTTTAACAACTGTTACAAAAAAATAAAGCTGTTGGTAGAACAGTGCACTCGACTATTTCCAGTGCTTCATAGCAAAATACGAAGTGCCTGCACAATGTAAGAATTAACAGAGAGAAAGATTTCATTTCAATAACATGACATTGTAATAAGTCTGGATATTAAGCAAAGAATTTTCTAAGTTCACAAAAGGTCATATGTCATTCAAAATCTATGCATGAGTTATGGGTCTTGGAAATTAAACTTCAATAATATTTCTTAAAGGAACTCCAAGGTACAAAAGCATAAAACACAAAATTTGAATGTCTACTATAAATGAGATTTGGCACTTGGAACAGAAACATATGCAAAAGATAATTAAGAAATATAATCAAAAATAAATTGAAAATCTTATTTTGTGCTTTTCTAAGTCCAATTTGAGTGAAAAGTGCAGCAATGCTTTTCAATTTAGGGTTATTTTTCACAATTATAATAATTAAGAGTGAGCCAATGATCTGAAATTATGTACAAAAGTTATTGGTCTCAACATCAAATGGAAAATTATTCTTGAAAAATTATTTCCAGTCCTGTCATGTCAAAAATCGCAGTAGAGTCCCTTTAAGGCATGAATAACGTTTCAAGTGAATAACATCAGTAGTTTTAAAGATGAATATTGGAATGTTACCTGGTACCATGTTGTTTGACAGTTATGTTTTGATAATGAAACTACAGCAGCTGTCATTGCATTAAGCTATTTCACATTGTGTCCTGGGTAACATACATTAAAAAAATAACACCCTCCAATAACACCGTGTGATCATGTGACTTTTCATGTTAATGCATGTTTTCTTTTCCATTAATGAATGCACAGTTTTTATGCAAGAATAATTGATGCTATACAATAAGTTAAGTGTAAAATTAAAAGTGACATTAAAGCAGCACACTTCCAGATTCATGCTAATTTACCATGAAAATTTTGAAAATGTATTTAAAAGTATAATAATGTGAAATAACCAAAAGGAAGCAATTTACAAATTATCAATGGCACTTACAACCCGCGTTAATTACCAAAAAGAGGGAAAATTATGCAATAATAGCCATAACTACTTCAGTAACATAGAAATATAGTTATAAATACCGAAAAATCAGTCATATAACGCACATTACAAGTAAATTATTACTTGAATCTTAAATCTTTTTACTTTTCCTAAAATCTTAGTACATTTTAGTTTTCAAGTCTGATTTTATGTTCATCTGAAGGCATACTGCTTTAAGCTGATTTTTTCGTTGTACTATACCTAAACCATGAAGCATTTGTATGGACTGTAACATATTACTCCACATCCGTAGTTTACCCACAGATATAGGGCTGTATGTTATAACTAATGGTAATGTGTCAACACTCTTGTTTACTTCCTGAAAAAACAACAAAAGAAACATTAGGCTAACTTCAACTAACAAATAAGCATTTTCATTAAACCCATCAACAGAAGAAGTAAGTACTAACTATTACAACAAGTGTATAATTTGTAATTTAATTTAATCCATGCGTTGTGTTGTCCAATCGAACTTTATAATGTTAGCTAATCGACTGTGTTATGTTCATATCAAAACTCTTGAAATTCAGAACAAGCAGTTCCAATTCAAAGAACAGACATTTCTTGATCATAAAACAAACAGTTCCAATTCAAAGAACAGACATTTCCAGATAAAAAAAAACAAACAGTTCCAATTCAAAGAACAGACATTTCCAGATCAAAAAACCAACAGTTCCAATTCAAAGAACAGACATTTCCAGATCAAAAAACAAACAGTTCCAATTCAAAGAATAGACATTTCCAGATCAAAAAACAAACAGTTCCAATTCAAAGAACAGACATTTCCAGATCAAAAAACAAACAGTTACAATTCAAAGAACAGACATTTCCAGATCAAAAAACAAACAATTCCAATTCAAAGAACAGACATTTCCAGATCAAAAACAAACAGTTCCAATTCAAAGAACAGACATTTCCAGATCAAACAAGAGGGCCATGATGGCCCTGAGGTCGCTCACCTGTATATAGGCCCCCCCCCCACCCCGGGCCAATTTTTACCCAAGGGCTTTTATTTGTTTATTTGAACAGACTTGGTAGACACCCATAAGAAGATGTTTCATGCTAAACATTTAAGTTCTAGCTCATTGGGTTTTTTAAAAGAAGATTTTTTAAGGTTTTTACTATACACATATAGTTAAAAACAATGACACCCCTGGGGCAGGGCCAGTTTTGACCCCGGGCTTTTATTTGAACAAACTTTGTAGATATTTACTTAAAGATGTTTCATGCTTAATATCTAAACTCTAGCTATTTGGGTTTTTTCAAAGAAGATTTTTAAGTTTTTGCTATACACATATAAGGAAAATCAATGACCCCCCCGGGCGGGGCCAGTTTTGACCCCAGGGCTTTTATTTGAACATACTTGGTAGACACCCATTAGAACATGTTTCATGCTAAATATCTTAGCTCTAGCTCTTTGAGTTCTTTAAAAGAAGATTTTTTAAGTTTTTACTATATGCATATAGGGAAAATCAATGACCCCCTGGGGCGGGGCCAATTTTGACCCCAGGGCTTTTATTTAAACAAACTTAGTAAACACTCATTAGAAGATGTTTCATGCTAAATATCTTAGCTCTAGCTCTTTGGGTTCTTTAAAATAAGATTTTTTAAGTTTTTACTATATGCATATAGGGAAAATCTATGACCCCCTGGGGCGGGGTCAATTATGACCCTAGGGCTTTTATTTGAACAAACTTGGTAGACATTCACTAGAAGATGTTTCATGCCAAATATCTAAGCTCTAGCTCTTATGGTTCTTTAAAAGAAGATTTTTTAAGTTTTTACTTTATGCATATAGGGAAAGTCAATGACCCCCCGGACCGGGGCCAATTTTGACCCCAGGGCTTTAATTTGAACAAACTTGGTAGACACTCACTAGAAGATGTTTCATGCTTAATATCTTTGCTCTAGCTCTTTGTGTTCTTTAAAAGAAGATTTTTTAAGTTTTTACTATATGCATATAGGGAAAATCAATGACCCCCTGCGGCGGGGCCAATTTTGACCCCAGGGCTTTAATTTGAACAAACTTGGTAGACATTCACTAGAAGATGTTTCATGCTAAATATCTAAGCTCTAGCTCTTACGGTTCTTTAAAAGAAGATTTTTTAAGTTTTTACTATATGCATATAGGGAAAGTCAATGACCCCCCGGGGTGGGGCCAATTTTGACCCCAGGGCTTTAATTTGAACAAACTTGGTAGACACTCACTAGAAGATGTTTCATGCTTAATACACTTCAGCCTCATTAAAACGCTCATGTTGGGGTCCAATGTCTCACCACCGCGTTCTAACGAGGCTCTCATTAGAACGCTCATTGCGAAATTACCGCATTACCCCACCCACCACATATTATATATAACGCTGATTTTTTTTACTTACTGTTCAATGAAAATCGACATTATCTTTTTCTAAAGCCATTCAATGATGTAAACATGTAATATATTCACAATAATACTAATTATATTTAAAAGAAACGAAAAACTTTCGAAAGAAAATTATAAATCATGAATGTAGTGTAAACACTAACCGTTAGCCATTAGTATACTGTAATGACGTTGGATTAACTAGGGGACACAACTAAAGCTGGACTGTAAATAACACTGTAATACAGTCCAGCTTTAGTTGTGTCCCCTAGTAAATCAGACGCCAATTACTTCCTGTCATGGCCGCTCTATTTACAGTGCAGGATTTTAAATTGATTTTGGGCTTGTGGGTTATTTAATTCAGCGAGGTTTACATGTCAAAGATATGTGTGTGAATTTTAGTTTATTTATACTCATCCCCGGTTGCCAATGTCACAGTTATGATATGAATTTGAGATTTTGGAAACAATTTGACGACATGTAAAACAACAAAAAGTCGTGAAAAGAGCAAATAAACACTTACCTAGGCATGTTTTTCACACCTTTGGCGCTCATAAATGTCCTAATAACAATTGTTTATTGTACTTGACAGTCAAATTGAGCAAGCGTTATAGCGCGCTATAAATCTAAGTCTACTTAAAAAAAAAATTTTTTTTTTTTGGAAGTTTTTTTTTTGGAAGTTTTTTTTGGGGAGCCAAGGTCTATGAGCGCTCTACTGAAATTAGCGTTATAGTGAAGAGCGAGTTATCGAGGCTACAGTGTATCTTAGCTCTAGCTCTTTGGGTTCTTTAAAAGAAGATTTTTTAAGTTTTTACTACAGTAGAACTTCGGTAAGTCGAAGTTGAAGGGACTTGCATAAAAACTTCGACACATCGGGACTTCGACTCATGAATCGCTCTCAATTCCATGACAAAATTTCGACCCGTGACTAGTCCTAATTATAAGCTCTATAACGAAACATATTTCATGTTTTTCCATCATTAATCTTATCTTTAAATTTTACAATGATAAATATAGCATGTCAAATTACGTTTTTCACGACTACCCAAAGAGTTACAAAAGGCGTATGAATACGAAAGGGCGATAACTAAACCAGCTTATAGTAAATATTTCGCGTGTTATTCTCACGCGACACCGGGTCAAGGATGTTTTTCAAATGAAAGTAGTGAAGTAGTTCTTACTGTTTACTTTCAAATACCACTACGGCAATTAAAAAAGTTACGATTAAAGCATTTTATCACACATTTTATCGCAAACAAAGGCTGTTTGAACACACGGCTGTGTTATTAACACCTATCACACAAGTTGATTGGAAATCGTCTTCGCAGCCAGATAAGGTGTGAAAAATGTCTCAAGGTCAAAGGTGTCAAAACAATCCAACGACTTCGACTTATTTGTGGTAAATTGCACTAGATTTACTTTATACGGACCACGAAAAAACCTCGACACATCGAAAAATTCGACACATAAAATTTCGACTCATAAATAGGTTTTTATAAGGAATATATAGGGGGGAAAGTGGGGACTTTCATTTTAATTCGACACATCGAGAAAATCGACTAATCGAAGTTCGACTCATAGAAGTTCTACTGTATATGCATATAGGGAAAATCAATGACCCCCTGGGGCGGGGCCAATTTTGACCCCAGGGCTTTTATTTGAACAAACTTGGTAGACATTCACTAGAAGATGTTTCATGCTAAATATCTAAGCTCTAGCTCTTACGGTTCTTTAAAAGAAGATTTTTTAAGATATGCATATAGGGAAAATCAATGACCCCCCGGGGCGGGGCCAATTTTGACCCCAGGGCTTTTATTTGAACAAACTTGGTAGACACTCACTAGAAGATGTTTCATGTTAAATATCTTAGCTCTAGCTCTTTGGGTTCTTTAAAAGAAGATTTTTTAAGTTTTTACTATATGCTTATAGGGAAAATCAATGACCCCCTGGGGCGGGGCCAATTTTGACCCCAGGGATTTTATTTGAACAAACTTGGTAGACACTCACTAGAAGATGTTTCATGCCAAATATCTAAGCTCTAGCTCTTAGGGTTGTTTAAAAGAAGATATTTAAAGTTTTTTCTTTCGGTTGCCATGGCAACCAGAGTTCTGCATGGAATTAAATTCTTTAAACAATTTTTAAAGGTGACCACCAAAGGAACATTCCTGTGAAGTTTGGATGAAATTGGCTCAGTGGTTTATGAGGAGATGTCATTTAAAGCAAAAGTTTACGGACGGACGGACGATGGACGGACGGACGCCGGACGAAAAGCGATCACAAAAGCTCACGCTGTCACTTTGTGACAGGTGAGCTAAAAACAAACAGTTCCAATTCAAAGAACTTACATTTCCAGATCAAAAAAACAAACAGTTCCAATTCAAAGAACAGACATTTCCAGATCAAAAAACAAACAGTTCCAATTCAAAGAACAGACATTTCCAGATCAAAAAAAACAAACAGTTCCAATTCAAAGAACAGACATTTCCAGATCAAAAAAACAAACAGTTCCAATTAAAATTATAACAGCTCTATTACACAAACTCAGAAAGGAAAAAGTTTTAGAGCACTGCGAATTCACTTATATTCTTGGGCATGAAATTTCGTGGTATTATCAAAGCAGGCATTTTCGTGGGTTCTTAAATACATGGATTTTCAATTTCTTGTAAAAAAATAAAATAAATAACCTTATGCAAAGTAATCTTACACTTAATCGCCTCACATTTTACTTACCGGATGTACATATCTTTAAGTATCACACAGCGCTTGTCAATAGATTTAATCCTTGCCTCTGGACATTCATTACACAAAAATTGGCAGAAAAGCGCCGATGCATGTTTGTAATATATAGAATAATAGAGACATGGCAAGAAATATTTGTTGGGATTAATTTTGTTGGGTCTTAAATTCGTGGATTGACCTTCCCACGAAAACCACGAAAATTCGTGCCCCACAAATAA